CTTTTTGGCTGTGAAAAAGCATAATGAAATAAATGTTAACAATAACACAAAAAACTGACACAGACAACAACCTGTTTCCAAGCGAACAGCATCTATATAATGTATCTACATACAAATATACATTCGCATCTACATACACATACTAGCACACGTTCGCACACATACACGCACGCACACATACTATTATATTTTTGTTGGGTTTGATTTTCGCTTGGTTGAGTTGCTTTGTTGTTTTTGTAATTGCTGTTTGATTTCTGTGCGTTTTTGAAGGTCAACTTTTATTTTATGTATTTCGGCTTCGCCTTTTTTCTGTATATACCCTGTATGACTAAAAAAAGGTTTGCTGCATTGGTTGTAACAGGCTGCATGAGACATCTTCGTCTCCATAAAGTTACTCTTGGACATTATTGAAGGTTGGTCTATCTTTTTTGCAGCCTGCCAGTCTTTCATTGTAGGGTATCGATCTGTGGGTGTAGTTTACAAACTGTAGAGCTAGTTTGCTTTTTACGCCGAATCCATAGATTTAATAAACTTAACGTTATAAGAACTAGATACTCGTCATTTTGTTTATATGCACACAGCCTAGGAATATTGCTATAAAGAAAAAGAACAGAACGAAATTTTGAGTGTATGTCACGTCTATTCTCTGGAAATAGAGTATTTCCTGGTCGGACACTCTTGAGTTGTTACTTCTTTCTTTCATTTTGTTGGCCTGAGAGTTTAATGAGCCGTTTCCGTGAATATGTGGGCTGATTGGGTGAGAATTGACTTTTTGACGACACGACTTATTAGTCATGAAACGGTAAACTTTGCTTGTAACTGGAAGTCACCGAAAGTAAAAGGAGATCTTAAGTGAAATGGAATAAAGGTGGAATTAAAAGCTACTTATCCTCTAACTAGTGCATTTCGAAGGAAGCAGGCCTTAAGATTGTATCCCATGGTTAAATAATATTTGTCGAATTCCCGAATAGCGTAATTCCCATCGACTGGGGAAAAAGTTTCGCTTTTCTAGCTGTACACATGAAATATGCCAAAAGCCGGCAAGACAAAGATAAATGTGAGATGTCAACGTCTACAAGACCGCCGATTAGCGGCAATTTTGCCAAGTCATAACAATGATTGGGCCACGAGGGGGCGACAACAACGTCTCCAAATCCAAGGAAATTAACGCCATAAGGGGGCCAATGTGTCAGTCGAAATGACGCAATTGATGCGGCAGCATTTAATACAAATTATACGATTTTATGGCAATCAGCGGGAAAAACTATAAACCCAAAAGCGGAACCTTCTTTCTCTTTTTCTGTCTCTATCTCTGCTATATCTCTCAATATAGCGAGCATTTTCTTTAGCTTTAGCTTTCGTTTTGACCAAAAAAAGAGAAGATGAACATAAATTTGTAATTTATGGCTGACACTTCAGCGCACACCTTGACGGGGCCCATTAGATTTATGTTTCTGCATATACAGTCGCATACAATTCATACATCAACAGTTCTTTTCATAAACTATGGACAGGTTTATATTTATTATTAATACTATTATTATTTTTTATACTTATTATGCTCGGGCTGCTGCTGTCCGTTGTTTTCAAAAAAAAAAAAAAAAAAACTAAAAAACTTGAATATATAAAATAAATTATAATCTGTTTTATATGCTAACGTGTAGGGCGACATCAAGTATATGCTCTACGATTGTTCCCCCATATACATATATAAATTTCAGGCGACGCGTAGGTGCAGCCAAAGCCACAACGGCCGCACATTTTCATTGCTCGTAACACGCCCCGTTTCGGTTGCCTCTTCATACCCTGTACAGAATAAACCTAACGGGCATTATAGTGTTGTTCACTAGACACAAATGAAGCAATGGCTTAACAAAAAAGTTGATTGTCCATAAAAAATCGACTGAAAAAGTTGTATAAGAAACTTGAAAAGGAGAAAATTTGAGATTAAGTAGAAATCTCTATCAAACAACAATCTTAAATAAAAATTGTTAACCCTCCTAGTTAGATGTGATTTGGTTTTTCTTAAACCAAATTTTGAAATTGAAAACAAGATACGATATCTTGAGCCTGCTTTCGTGCCTCCTGGTAGACCCAAAGTTTCAGATTTTCCTTTAAATGGAATTGTTAATGGCTAGCTTAACTCTGATGACTACAGGGTATCCTTTAGCTGAGCACAAACTCTATCACCAAGCTGACTTCATTTTTTTCTTGTATTCATTTTCAAAAATTTGTTGTAGATATGTTGTGTTGGCTATTATGTTTTCACTTTGAATATAATTCTTGTTGATCACTCATGAATTTCAATGGGAGCCTACGACATAAATCAGCTGTGAGGAATCCTACGCACCGGCTAATGACTTGTATATGCAGATAGGCCGTTAGTTTCCTCTCTCTCTCGTATCGCTTTCTATAGGGTTTTGATGTCTGCCTGGGCTGCTTGGGCGTGGACTATCAGCGACAGTATCGGTCGTTGCCGACCCAGGTCTGACATCATTTAAATTTCGCAACGGCTGCCGATTGCTTTTCAATTGCTCATCGAGCGGCGATGTCAAGCCGCGGGCCACACCATGTGCTATTATTGTGGGCGCTGATAAGATTGAACGATCTCGCTGAACCGCGCGGTGAGTTGCGGGTATTCTAAAAATAAAAACCCGGTAAAAATTGCGTATTCGGTAAACTAGAGCTGTGTACGCATGTACAACGTTTTTTAGCCGCTTTTTGTTGCAGCGGCTCGTGGCATGTGTGTCAGTTGGCAAGTTCTTTGCCAAAGTTTTTGGCACAGTTTCCAGACTGTGCGGGTGCAAGCGAGACAGAGTGTCTGGGCGACGCCTACAAATGTGTGCGAGTGTGTGAGCACAGGCGTGTACGGGGCCCGGCAAAAACATGGCAGTCAAACTGTGAGTCCTGCTCGGCTCTGGGCCAAGAAACCACCACAAACAGTCACGATAAAAGTCACAAAAGTTATGAACTACCCAGAAAAGTGCACACACGAGCACATTCATACATATACACACATGACTGTGTACCCTGTGGGGGTGCGTAACACACATGCCGCGCACACATGCACACACACACACACACACGTCTCTTATCATCCTGGGCGCAACTTCCTCGACGACTTTGTGTGTTGTATGTTTTTCTTCTGCTTGCTCAACTGTCTGACAGTTGGTTCTGGGTCCTTGTCCTTTTCCTTACAGTATGGCCTATTGATTATTGTTTTCCATTAGATTGACATTTTCCACAAGCAGCACTCACGTGCTGGTGCGAGCGAAGCGGCTGCCTTGACCTTATCGCTATCCTTTTCTTGCTTTCTAGCCATGTTTTGTTTGCCCCTCAATGCGATCTGTGCCTTTGCCACATTGCGTGACTATTAAATATTCGTCTGTTTGTGTTATGTTTCCTTTTGCAGAAATGTCTCATAAAAATGATTAATGGCTAATTGCGTGCTTTTTAGGTTGGAAAAATTACTGGAGCTCTGCTTGAAAAGTAACAAAGTTTTGCCGCCTGTTGACATAAGCCGAAAAGAACTCCCAAATATCAAATTTATCCATTTACACGACGCTCTTAATTACAAGTGGGCAGAGGTGGCAACTGGGCCTAAGTTCATATAAATCACAAGCAAATGAAATGTAACTAATTTAAAAACTGCTTTCGCAGATTAGAACTAGCCGGAGAAAACTGGCGACAAACTAATTAGAGAGAGAGAGAGAGACAAAAAGAGAGAGAGAAAGAGTGTGAGAGAGACAGAGAGAGAGGGAGAGAGAAGTAGAGAAAAATCTAGTTAATCTTATGGACAATCTTATGGGTTTACTTTTTTGTTTGTAATGCTAGTCCCGGGCTACTTTCCCGTGAGAAAACACTTGAGATTCACAATTTGAGAAAATTAGAGAAAAACAAATCAGAGAGATATAGAGAGAAGTAGAAAATATATAATCTGATTATTATTTCTATCTTTGGCAAAAACTTATAAATGAATTCTTCAGATATTTAAAGTACTATCAGCCAGTCTCAGTTTACGTTTTGCTTTTAAGCCAAATATCGAGACACTCTTCCGTTGAGAAAAGCGTGAACACACTTGAGACTCATAATTTGTATAACGCTGCCAAGTGTAATATAAGCAAAAAATGTTGTATTAACAAATCTTTAAGAAATAAAATTTCAAACAAAAAAAAATTGCAAAATAAACACTTGGCAGCTTCCACATCCACTCGCAGGCGTTCAATTGATCGGGCAACATGAGTATGTCAATCATATACTATATGCGCACTTGGAAATCAACATATCATAACCCAGTCAATGGCAAAGAACGAAAAACGAAAACAAAAAATTGAAATAAATTCAGCTGCTTTTTGTTCTGGTTTGTTTTTTGCTTTGTTTTTCGACTGCTTTGTGTTGCGTTTGTTTTGCAATTGAAAGTCAATTGAGCGACGTTTTGTGGGCAATGCGCGGGCTGGGGCGTGGCTGCATTTAACTGCTTGCTGCCACTAAGCGGGTTCGGCTTTCGATTTGGGTTTGGGCTTGGGTTTGGGTTTGGGTCGAGCCATGTAAATGCAAATTCACGCAGCGCTGGCGGGCAAAATGCCTTTTGAACTGTGTGGCACAGCATTCGGACTGAGAGAAAGGTGCAAGAAGTAGGGCATGCAGGGGTAGCGAGAAGGGGAGGAGAGCAGCAAAAGAATCAGGCAGCTGCCTTCGTTCTGCGCCTGTCATGTGTTTTAGCAATTTGCAAATTTACAAGTTCTACATACGGGGCGCATGTTTAATATCAAATTATGAAACGGCAGCCTCGCCAGCTGCTGCTGCTGCTGCCGGGCCCTGGAGCAGCCTCTGGTTGGGACTTAGGCTGGCTCAGCCCGTTTTCCTTTAGTGACAGCGATTGCATTTTCAAGTGCCACACGGCAACATTTGTATGCAAATTGCTTGGGCGATTGCACGAGTGCAACATGTTGCTGCTGTACAAGTTGTTGTTGAAGCTATTGCTGTTGTCGTCGTCGTAGTTGTCGCTGATGTTGTTGTTATTGTTGTTGGTGCCTCAACTTTTGCCTGCGGTCGCCTGCAAATAAAGAACGCATTGAGTTTTTATTAGTTTTTGATGATGCTCATAAAACGACGCGACGGCAGCGATGATAAAAATCTGTTTGCCTAAGTAAAGTGAGGCATTTAAAGCAGGCACAACCAGAGACTGGCTCACATTCACACACACACACACACACACGCACACTTGCAATCGCAGCCATTCCCATTGAATTGACTCAGTTCGTGCTGCAGGGGCTGGCAGGGTGCGACATTGGCTTTGATTGTAAAATGTAACTAACCGCTGCTAAATGCAATAAAACGAGACAAGTGTTGAGTTCTTTTTGAGTGCTTGACTTTTACAGCCAATGTCTGACCAAATGCCAAAGCCAGACGTTCATGGATGTGCCAACATGTGGTGGGCAGTCAAAGATTTACGTTCGAGTTTTTAATCTACTCTAAAAACCTTTTTTCACTTCTGCAATTAACATAATTTTTATATCAATTGCTATTACCCGATTTTTTCTGCCTATAATGATAATCGCCTTTGCGTTGTCCCGCTGCATGTCGCACATCATAATAATTACGGCTATTACTGGTCCCAGAGCCAGTTCATAAGGTGATATATAGAGAGAGAGAGAAAGAGAGAGAGAGAAAGAGGGAGGGAAAGAGAGAGAGTAAGAGGAAGAGAGAAAGCTACTGCTACCTTTTAAACAATTACATTAGTAGTAGAAGCCCTGCAATAAGAACTAAAACATTTAATGGACTCTTAGCTAAATTAACAAAGCCAACATATGCTCATAGAGAGGCAAGAAAAAGAGACACACAAAGAGAGAGAGAGAGAGAGAGAGAGAGAGAGAGAGAGAGAGAGAGAGAGAGAGAAGGAGAGAGGGTGAGATTCAGGAAGATAGAGTCCAAAGTCAGGCAGGCAGACGCGCCCCTTCACAGTGTAGAACGTGTATCTGTCAGTACGTGTATCTGTATCCGCAACTGTAACTGTATCTGTAGCTGTAGCTGTGCCTGTCTGTGTATTGGTGTGTGCCGTTTGCGCTTCTAATGACACAACATTTCATTAAAAATAATTTCACTAAACATTTGACGTATTACGTCCAATTGGCATTTCTAATGACAAACTCACACACACAGGCACGCACACACATGCAGCTCATAGAAATAGAAATAAAAGTACATAATGGTACTAATCGTCAAACATGTATTTAGTTTTGTTGTCGGGCTTGTTACACGTTGGGTGTTGTTGTTGTTTTTCTTTTTTTCCGTCTGTGTTTTTCTTTTTTTCTATTTGAATTTTGTTTTGGGGCTTTGTGTTTGGCTTGGTCGAGGTCTTATCAGCGTGTATCGCTGTTAAAACGTTTTTAATTTCCTATCGCTGGCCAACAATCATTTAATTATAGTGCTTGAAACGTATTTAGTTAGCTGCAGTCCAGCACAAGGGCGTAGAAGAAGGGTCCTAATAAAGTCAGTCGAATGAGTGCGTGAAGCTGAGTCACGAGTGCAATAAAACTGAGAAGAATTGAAAAACAGGAAACTCACGCACGAGCTGGACGACACACACCTTAAGGCTAGTCACTTTGTCAACCCCTTCTGGGAACTAAGCCTCTGTGTTTTTGATTTGAAGCCAACTATTTCTAGTCCATTGAATTGGACAGAAATAAAAAGTAAAATAAAAAATACTGTTGACAGAGCTGAGACCAATGTGTGATCCAAAATTGATTTTATTGTAGATCACTATCTAATTGTGAGCTCATGTTTTCCCACTGATTAAATAGGCCACTTACACACACACGCACACACACACACACACACACACACACACACAAACACACATGTGGAGTGGGAAACCAGTTGAAAATTGCTGCTTGTTGCAGCTGCAACAAAATTCATGTAGCTTAAACAAATATTTGAGCTCCATTAGGCTGGACAATCACTCAGCAGTTGTTTAACGCGCTCGCTTTTATTAAACTGTCATCAACATGCAGCAGCAATTCGAAATGTGTTTGTTAGGGTTACGAAGGGGGGTGTGGGGGGTTGGATCATACATGCTGCAGCTATTCAAAAAGCGTATGCAGAAGACACAAATGCATAGACACAAAACCATACTTTATATAGATACTAAAATTATACTATTTGCTGTCAATCAACGTCAGTGCTAAAGCCGAGCCATAAACAATATCATATTTCTGGCCGCAGAATACTAATTAAATTACGCAAAAAAGGCAAAAGGCAGCAGCAACAGCAGCAGCAATAGCAACGGCAACAGCAGCCAGCTAAAAGTGAAGTGAAAAGCAAATTCAAGATTTTCAATGTTCAGATAAGCTCACAATAACAACACACAGATAGAACACACACGCACACACACTCACATACGCACTTAGCCAAAGGAAACGCTGCGAATGCTGTTGCTGTTGTTGTTATGTTGCTAATAATAATAATAATGTTGTTGCTGCTGCTGCTGCTTCTGCTGCTGCAGTTGGCAGTTGCAGTAGCTAATTTTAAATGGCAACAACAACTTTTGAACTGAAGTTTCCCTGCACTGCAATTGTTGCTGTTGTTGTTTGCTTGTAATATATTTTAATTTATGCTCGGTTGGCAATACTTTTGGCCAGCAGCAGCAACGCCGCATTTCAGGCACGCTGTAAAATTGCGCGTAAATAAACATTAATTTTAATTTAATGAATTAAACACACACACAAGTTGACCGGTGGATATATATAAATATATATATATATATATACATATATATGTATAAAGACATCAGCCGTGGAATTTGCCTGCTGAGTCACTTTTTGAGGGCTGCCTGCTTGTCGCCTTGGCACTATATAAACATATAGATACATTTGTATCTACGCTTAAGTGAGTTTCTTTATTTTCAATTTTAGCTTTTTCCATTTATTTTTTTTTGTTGGTTTCGGTCTATTATGCAAAGTGTTTGCCACACATATGTGTGCACACATCCGACTATTTGTGTGGGATTTGTCATTCATGAAATAAAATGCATCGCAGTTTAAATGTGCATGCAATGCATTCAGAAAAATCAATTGACGAGCCATTGATATGGCCGTATGGAAATAAAACATAACTACAGCTTATATTTTTAACTAGCTTGCAACGGCGATATTCTCTGAAAAGATAGGATTTTGTTAAAAGCGCTGTGCAACATTCTTTCATTTTATTGCCGAAATTGGGAGAGAACATTTGTGAAAGCCCCAACTACCATATTTTTGTAATTGAAGAAGTTGCTACTTTGTTAATTTGCTTTATATAAAAAGAAATAATATGTTTATGATATCTTTTCAGATAAAATGCAAAAAGTGAAGGATATTATGAATATTTAGTGTGCTTAAAGACATTGTAAAGTGTTTAGTGTTTTCAAGAAGAATCAAGAGAACGCTTTCGGATGCAATAAGCAAAAAGGGTAAGCGCAAGCATCGAAATAATAATATATATATATATATACATACAAAACATAGTCTATACAAGACTATATTTAGCTAATAACTAAATATAGATATTATCTAAACTGTGCTTATGCCAATAAACACGCTACTAGTACAGTCATGCCAAGTGGGCAACTGGTTGATTATTAGCAACAGCTTTATTATGCAGCTCTCAGCAACAACAACAGCAATAATTGTAATCAACTGTCAGCAAGCTCAGGCACTAGTTAGTGGCAACATAATTAAATATGCAACCAAAAGCTATGTACAATTAAATTAACCAAAGTTGGATATTTGTTGCAGCCAGTGCGAGTGTTGCCACTCGCCGCGGCTTTTGTTGGTTGCGGCTTTATCTTTATCAGCCATGCATCGCCAGTTGCCATGTTGCCACATTGCCACTTTGCCACGTTGCCTGTCGGTTGCTTGCAGCTATTTCCTGTCAGATTTTGCATAAATAATTTTTGATAATCAGAGCTGTGCGACTGGCACATAAATTTAATTAGCAGCATATGCTGCATTTAATTAGCAGTAAACTCATGACTTCCAGTGCATCTAACTGTTCCAGCAGCCACTGCAGTCAACTGCAACTGCAACAGAAACTGCGGCAGTTGCACTCGCTGCTGGCTTAATTGAAATTCACACGATGCGAATGTTGCCGCTCATTTCGTAGGCCGACTGCGTGCTGTTGTTGTTACTATTTTTCATTATTTAGTCGAATGCATCATTATTATTATAATTCCTTTCTATTTTGTATTTTTTCCTTCTTATATTTATTTATTATTTTTTCGCATTGCATAAGCCCACTGACAGCCTGTTGCTGCTAAAGGGGGGCTCGAGTAGCTGCCACCGCTTGGCTCGCTGCCGCTGCATATGTGGCATGCATAATTAGCAGCCTAGAGTTGAGTCTCAGTCGAGTGGCGAGATATAAAGAATTTTCATTTTCATTTATACATACATATTACCAACAATAAATTTGTAATCAAAACACAGATACTGAATGACTGAGCGCATCCGTGTGTGCGTTCTCTTCTGTTGTGTGTGCCCCACTTGCTATCTGTATTCTCTTGGTTTTTTTTTTTTTTTTAATGAGCCATTAAGCTTTAGATTTTTGTGTTTAGATACGCCCAAAGTTTGTCTATCTCGAGCAACTGGCAATGTGAAGAAAATGCTTAGATGATATGTTATGCGTTTCCACGAAACGAATTAAGTTATTAGATACGCCTCAGCTGGAAAACTGTGTGGCAGTCCATATTATGTGGCACGTATTATGTTCTCTAAAAGTTGTTAGATTGATATATGATCTTAAGTTTGTAAAAGGCAGCGTACAACAGCAACATGTTGCACTCAGTAACATGTAGGGGCATTGCTGCCCCTGGGCTATGCGGCAGGTAAGCTAAAAAGTTCCTCCTGCAATCTTTTGCCCATAACTAAGCCTCGTCCCGTCTAACTTATGCGCCAGACTCTCTGACAGTCCGTCATCTGGCGATGTCAACAACTAATGAAACTTATTCCGGCACAACTGACAACAGACAGTTGAAAACTTCATTAAAATTGTGCCCACAATTAGTGCGGCAAGGCAACAGCA